CGATCATTACCGACAATGGGAGACAATTCGAAGGAAAAAAGCTGGAAGACTTCTGCACGTCGCACAACATAAAGCACTACTTCGCCACCCCGTATCATCCTCAGACGAACGGTCAAGTCGAAGCGGTGAACAAGTTAATCAAGAACGGTCTGAAGACAAGGTTAGAAGCAGCGAAGGGTGCTTGGCCAGAAGAATTGCCTGGCGTCCTGTGGGCGTATCGAACAACTCCGAGGTCATCGACAGGAGAGACCCCGTTCTCTCTGTCATATGGGTCAGAGGCCATGGTCCCCGTAGAACTCGGGTCGCCTACCTACCGAGTAGAGAATTTCACCGAGGACCAAAACGACGACAACCTACGCATGAACCTCGACCTGGTCGAGGAGCTGCGGACACAAGCCGAACTCAAAAATGCGGCTTACAAACAAAGGAGCGAACGCTACGTCAACTCTAAACTCAAACCCAGGACTTACCGAGTTGGGGACCTGGTCCTGAAGAGAGTAACGGGGCCCAACCCCGGCCCCTTAAAGCCGAAGTGGGAGGGGCCCTATAAAATAAGTCAGGTGCTGCCACATGGGGCCTATAGATTGGAAGGCCTGGACGGTACGCCCCAAAGATACCCATGGAACGCGGTGTACCTCAAGAAATACTTTCAGTAGCACCGAACCGGCCTCCGTGCCACTAGTCGGTCCCCGCGCCGACGTTCTGCAAAAACCGGCCTCCGTGCCACTAGTCGGCCCCCGTACCGACGTTCTGCAAAAACCGGCCCTCGTGCCACTAGTCGGTCCCCGCATCGACGTTCTGCAAAAACCGGCCTCAGTGCCACAAGTCGGTCTCCGCGCCGACGTTCCGCAAAAGAGTTACCGCATAGCAAGTCAAATCCGCTAAAAGAGCTTCCCCGGGCGAAATTGGAAAACGGAAGAGAGTCGGTTGACCAGAAAATTTTCCTTTTTCAAGTAAGACGAGTTTCCCAATGATAATCTTTTCCTGGAGTGTTTTGTAAATGTGACGGTCTTTGTGAAATCAAATATCTTTTATATAGAATCTTGGTGTCGAAATCTTTTGCACTTAAGATAACTCGTGAATTCAAATCAAGCATTTTCGAGTCTAAAATATATTTTCGCTGGATTCTTGTTAACAAATGATTGCGATCAACAAACTTCTATTCACGTTCAAAGCGGTAAAGTTGAACAAACTTGTCCATACATACTAAGTCTCAAGCTGCGATAAAAAGGTCGGGCCATTTTTGAACTTCGCTCCTGAACTTCTGTTTGAAAATCGTGATGTTTGGAAAAATA